AACCAGAAGTTCCGTTCCGAACTTCCATTGGATTCGTTTTTCGCCATCCACAGGCTCGGGAGGCTTTCCTGAAGCCTGGGGAGGATGAAAACGGTCTCCCCCCGCCCTCCGGAAGCCTGAAAATCAGCTGGCCAGTGTGTACATGTGCTCTGGAACTGACGTAGGGCAATGCCTCATATGCTCTCAGATATGGTTCTGTGTGCCCCTGTGCCACACGTGCCATAGGTTCGCCATCACGGGTCTAAACTCTGGGAGTTCGAGTCCTACCATTCTGAGACAGAGTCAGCTCCTGTCACTTGTCTCAGCTCCTGCCAATCTAGCAGTTCGAAAGCATGTAAATGCTAGTAGATAAACAGGTACCCTTTCGGTAGGAAAGTTAAACAGGGTTCCGTATTTTGCCATGCGCTTTGCACTGTGGAGTGATGTCATATTTTCACATGCCACGGAAACATTTGGACAAAACTGCCTCAATAGCTTAAAGAAGCAGAGATGAAGCAGAGCCCTCTAAAGTTGGCTACACCCACAGAGAATCCTTTAACAATGCAGCTTGAAATGTTATTTGTAAGCCAAGATCTTTAATCTTAAAAAGGTTACATATCTTATTTTAGAGCAATCATTTCTATGGATAATAATTACTGGATAAGTCTAAGAACTACGTCAAGGAAAAAGAAGCTAAGCAAAAGATAAAACAAAATAAGTAGCAGTTCTTCTTCACCACGCCTAGCCTTTATATTTGCTGTTAAATATGAACTGAGCTTCCCAAATTAAGAGATATAACCTATGAATCTTTCATAAATTAGCTTTAGAGATAATTGGTATATTTTAGCATTAGATTAGACCCAGTTGGTAAACATTTTAACAGTAAATAAATGGCAGGAATTCAAAATAAAAAGTCTACTTTTTGAATACTTGAAAAATTACTTACCCATCATTGGAACATGTTAAAAACTCTTCTTTTATTTTTGGATGCCAACAGCCTGAATTAAGCATTGCTGTGTGTCCCTAGATTGACAAACAGAAGGTGTGAATATAATGTATAATAATTTATGTTTAATCAAACAATTTATTTGTTCTCTTCTTTTCCAAATAGTGCAACAAACAAACATAATTATTATCCAATAGTATGTAGGAACACAGTGGCTCGCATGGCTAGGACACTAATTTAACCAGCAGCAAGCTCTCGTTCGAGACCCAAATACTGTCATGGGGTGGGGTGAGCTCCCGTCCTTTGCTCCTGCTGGCGACATGAAAGGACCCCCAAATTGGGCATCCCTATGGGCAGTGGTGATGTCACCAGCTAATCCTTTCAATCTGGAAGTACTTCAGTACCTCCAACACAAATGCAAAAATCCAATACCCTTATAAACATCATTGAAAACTGAAGAATAAGGTGTCAAACCCCAAAACCTCAAAGTTTGCCGTACTGGGGGAGGGAAGGGGCTCCTGCACTGACGATGGGGGGTGTGTGTAGAACTGAAATGCAGTCTACTCCTGCGTAGGGAAGGTTTATGGGATGCTGTACAGAATCCACCAGATGTAACTGCTTGGAATCCAGATAATGATGAAGATGCCAAGAAGATAGCAGATTTTCAGCGAAGCAATGAACGGGCATTGTGTATTATTGGTCTAACACTGAATGACCAACAATTAGTTCATATTCGTGGAGAAAATTCTGCTGCAAGATGCTGGGAGAATTTGAAGAGGATTTATGTACGTGACACTGTAGGTGCACACATACATCTTACACGCAAACTGTTTAGGGTGCATCTTCTGAAAGGTGGAGATGATATGTTAGCTCATTTAACCTATATGAAAGGGGTTTTTCAGGATCTACATGAAAAAGAACTAATTTTCTCTGAGCTACATCAAGTTTATATCATACTCTCCACACTGGATGAGAGTTATGGTGTTTTTGTGTCGTCTCTTGAGGTCCTAACCCAAAATGAACTTATATTGACTGACATTACTGCACAACTGTTGGAAGAGTCAAGNCTATCAGATGAGCCATGGTGGTGCAGTGGTTAGAGTCAGTACTGCAGGCTACTTCTGCTGGCTGCCTGAAATTTGCCAATTCAAATCTCACCAAGCTCAAGGTTAACTCAGCCTTCCATCCTTCTGAGGTGGATAAAGTAAGGACCCAAATTGTTGGGGGCAATATGATGACTCTATAAACTGCTTAGAGAGGTTTGTAAAGCACTGTAAAACGGTATATAAGTCTAAGTGCTATAAAGTGCTGCTATAAAGATTCAGAGGGAAATTAGGGCATCTTTGACCAAGCTAACTGAATTGCTTGTAGGCAGTTTCATCGGCTGGATCATGTAGGCCATTATCAAGGAGCACGCTTAATGTTTTTTCTATCTGCGCTACATTTTTTTTTAAAGTGCAGATTCATCCTTTGACTCCAAATCCAAACTACTTGAAGTACTTTTTGGAGAGAGATTATTAGCCATTCAACTCAAGGGATTCCTGAGTCTTAAACAAAATTGTTTAACCAAAATAAAATTAAGATAACAACCTCAAGGGACTACTCTTGGCATAACATTTCTTCAAAACAGCCAAATACTTACAAAGAATCATAATGTGACCCCATTCTATTTTAATATCACTAAAAGTCCTAAGTTGTAGAATACACTATAAATATCCCAAACCCGCCCCAAAAATTGCCTATATATGAACACAAACCCAGTTATAATTTGATATGTCCCCAATGGTTTTATTCCCACAAAATTAAGAACATCACAAAACATTTGAAGATCCAAAGAAAACATTTAAATAGTATATTATAAAAAGTGATGTATCATGTGATAGAAGGCACTCTATACAATTCTGGATGTTATCATAAGCTTCACTAATTTCGGCAAAGCACTCAATCTTAGACCTTCACTCATTTGTGATATTCAGAAATGATGGCAAGCTGGGAGTTCTAGTCCCACCTTAAGACATGAAAGCCAACTAGGTGACTTTGGGCCCATCATTTTCTTTTGTTGTTGCAGCTAAAATAGGAAGGAGAAGTATTTATATATGTTTGCCACATTGAGTTATTTATAAAAAAATAATAAAGGTTATATTTAAAATAAGAACTATTTAATACTGATGCCCTTGCAGGTTCTTCCAGAAGCACTGAGCGTATTGGAAAAGGCTGTTATTGAGGCTGGTTTATTACTTCATAAAAATAAAGGTAAAGGTAAAAGTTCCCCTCGCACATATGTGCTAGTTGTTCCTGACTCTAGGGTGCAGTGCTCATTTTGGTTTCAAAGCTGAAGATCCAGCGCTGTCCGAAGACGTTCTCCGTGGTCATGTGGCCGGCATGACTAAACCCGAAGGTGCACGGAACACTGTGATCTTCCCACCAAAGGTGGTTCCTATTTTTCTATTTTGGATTTTTGCAGAGCCAAGGTGGCGCAGAGCCAAGGTGGCGCAGTGGTTAGGGTGCAGTACTGCAGGCNAGTAAAAGCCTATTTAAACTGCAGTATCTCTGTATGGTGGTTTATGTGTTCCCCAACACAACTCTCACAACGCTTCGCTGAACGTACTCGCTCTCCCAACGGGGAGCTTACTTAACAACCTGTATGCAATTAAGAGATAAAACACCTTATTCAGTCCTAATTTTCCCTTCAGTGCTGCTCTTTGCTATTCCTTCTGTGCCAGACCCATTAGCCAGTTGTCCAATGGCCGTACAAGTTTATCTTTTACCGTGGGCAATTTAAAGTGAGATTTTCTTTTTTAAAATATATTTTATCAATTCTTTGCATATATTTTTTTTGCCAAAGTTTATGCTCCTTTTTGTTTTCCCACATTCAGGCAAGATTTGCATGTTCTGAATGTGGAAAACAAGTTTAGAGGACTTTTATCTAGACTTCATCGGTATCTGATCTTCCGCCTTAGTTATTACTGTGTTCTTTTGAACCTCTTGGAACATTTTTGATCTCAGGGATACTTTGGAGCTGATCTTTTAGATTTATAATTCTGAACTATCTCCAAACATTGTTCAAATAATGGATTGTTTTTATTTTCCCTTTCAACTTTACTTTCAACAATTCTTTAATTTTTTGCAGATCTGCTCTTCTGCTGTCAAACGTCTGTGTGATACACTTTATTGGCAAGCACAATTCACATCCACATTTATATTTACAAAATTATTATCACTGCTTCCAATTAGTTCATCTGTTTTGGACAAGACTATAATTAATAGTGAAGATTAAGGCCAATGTTAACAGTGATGTTGGCTTCCAGACTGGCTGTTTCAAGGCTTAATCATTTGTCAAGTCCAAAATATGCATTTGGTCAGTCCATGTGACTACAACTGAAGCTGCCCATTACTATTTCCTTCTCAGATGCTTTTGATTGTCCTTTCAGTCTATAAGTTCATTAGAGAGTACCCAACGCTTTAAATTCCCACAAGACAACATGCCACTCTAACTTTGTATAGAGTTACATGATGCTGTGGGAGCTCCCATCACACACTCTTGCTCCTGCCAACCCAGCAGTTTGAAAGTAAATGACTGCAGGTAGGTAGATGGATACCACTTTGATGAGCAACTTAATGGGATCATGAGCCCCCAACTGGACATCCCTGGGCACTGGAGATGTCATGATTCACTCCTTTCAACTCAGAGCTTTGGAGCTCTTGACATGAATGTAGCAGAGGTCAAAACAAAAATTATCTGTTTGCTTTATTTAAAAATTATATATTTTTGAAAAATATGCTTTATATTTTTCAATGAATGCTACAATACTTCACTAAAACATGAGAAAACATCTCTAAAATTACATTATTCAAGCTCTAAATTTATCTCCTTACCTTAGTGTTTGCCATGTCTACAATATACTGGTCCCCCTTCACACACTCCATCACAGGAAAGCCATCTCTGTCAAGGACCTTAGCTTGAGAATTACCCGCAACAACAAGAATGACATCTCCCGTGCTGCTATACTGCAAAGACTTTATCTGGTGACTGAAAAATTACGGAACCAAAGTTAAATACTAACAATTAAATACATAATTGCCAAGTCTTTGCTTACAAAATTTAAAAATGGCAGAATATTTTATGCTACATCATTTTGGAAATATATGAAATATCTCCAAGTGGAATAATAATTGACAGATCCATTTTTGGTAGATGCACAGCAATTTCTAATCCATTTTTTCCAAATGCAAATAGTCCTTGTTTAGTGACTGCTTCATGTAGGGATCATTTGCAATTATAATGGTAATAATGGAAAGTAACTTTTATGGCCAATCCTTGTATTTACAACATTTGCAGGTCTCTAAAGCAAAGGAAAGTTGAAGTAGCAATAGCAATAGCAATAGCAGTTAGACTTATATACCGCTTCATAGGGCTTTCAGCCCTCTCTAAGCGGTTTACAGAGTCAGCATATCGGCCACACAGTCTGGGTTCTCATTTCACCCACCTCGGAAGGATGGAAGGCTGAGTCAACCTTGAGCCGGTGAGATTAGAACTGCTGAACTGCAGAACTGGAATCAGCTGAAGTAGCCTGCAGTACTGCACCCTAACCACTGCGCCACCTCGGCTGTAACAGTGGTGGGATTCAAAAACATTTACTACCCGTGGCTTGGTGGGTGTGGCTTGGTGGGCACGGCAGGGGAAGAATACTGCAAAATCCACATTTCCACCCCACTCTGGGGCAAG